TAGAAGTCGAGTGCAGAAACCCCTCAAGGTTGCAATTGTAATATCCTAGCTGCTATGGGCTACTGTTTACATTACTCGGATTGGTTTAGAAAAGGGGACACGACTGGGTTCTTGCGTCTCGACTTCTAAGAAAAAGGAGAGAAGATATGGTGAATTTTCCTTACCCAAAAATGGGAAAAGGTTATTATTATGAAAAGTAAAAAGTAAGATAAGAATAATAAGAAAAAGAGAAGAAAACAAAGATATAAGAAGACTCAACATATTAGTGTTTTAGAAACACTTTGGTAACTAAAACCACGAAGAATATCTTTAGAGATTATGTAAGTGAATGAAAGAATGTATGAATGTGTGTGCATGTGTTTGCATGTGTGTGTAAAGGCACACATGTATGCCAACTAATCTCATCAGTAAATGTGCAAAGACATAAACAATCCACACACATCATTATGACTGACAAATAGAAGACAAAATACATACATATATATAAATATATAAGATATATATATATATATATATATATATATATATATATATATATATATATATATATATATATATATATATATATATAGACGTATGTATATGTGTGTATATGTATATGTATGTATATGTATATGTATATATATGTATGTATGTATATGTATATATATATATGTATATATATATATATATATATATATATATATATATATATATATATATGTATATATATATATATATATGTATATGTATATATATATGTATATATATGTATATATATGTATATATATATATATATATATATATATATATATATATATATATATATATATATATATATATATATAAATATGTATACATACATGTATATATGTATATATATGTATATATATATATATATATATATATATATATATATATATATATATATATATATATATATATATATATATATATATATATATTCACATTGCATCCTATTTTCTAAGCATCATATAATTTTTTTGATGTTCATTGGCTGCACTGCTCAAACTTACGTATGTAAAGCTAAACAAGTCTTTTATAATATTCATTCAATGAACTGTATCAATAAGACACCATAGATAAAACTTTCCATATCATTCCATGAAAATTTAAACATCCCAAAATGATATACCATGAGATATATGAAGTCAACTTGTTATTTTGAATAACAAAAATATGAAAAAGGTAAATATATATACCTCAGTTTTCATGATAAAAAAATCAAGCGGGAAAAATGTAAAGCAAATATCTACATTGATTAGTCATTTCCATCAAAATAGTTTTTACAAAATTCCTTTGTTCATTTGGTGTCAGTTTAACTTGAGAAAGAAGACAAAAAAAGAGAGGAGAAGAGAAAAAAAGATGATAAGTGAACAGCAGAGAATAAGAGAAGAGAAGAGAAGAGACAAACAGAATGGAAAAGAAATAAAAACTTAATAGCATATACCTTCAAATAACATAAACACTAACCTCAGAACAAATACCTAGAACTAGCTACCATGAACTTAAGAAACTAACTGTAGCAAGCTATACAAATATGTGGACCGCTGGCATAAGACGTCATGACCATGATAAGTATTTCTCATAAATATAGCTACGCAATCTGAGACTACTGGAAATTGTGTTGATCATTGAGGTAACCCGATAAGATTAAATAAACTATCAACTTTGGGAAAAGGCATACCAACTTGTAAAACACTGTAGTGTATATATTTATGCACATCTGCATCTGTGTATGTACATATACACATACACACACACATTATATATATGTATATATATATATATATATATATATATATATATATATATATATATATATATATATATACATATATATACACACACATAACATATGTATAAATATATGTATTTATGTATATGTATGCAAATACATATGTATGTATGTATGTGTGTATGTATGTATGTTTGTATGTATATATATATGTGTGTGTGTGTGTGTGTGTGTGTGTGTGTGTGTGTGTGTGTGTGTGTGTGTGTGTGTGTGTGTGTGTGTGTGTGTGTGTGTGTGTGTGTGTGTGTGTGTGTGTGTGTGTGTGTAATATACATATATGTATATATGTATGTGAGTGTGTGTGTGTGTATATATATATGTATGCGTATATATATATATATATATATATATATATATATATATATATATATATACTATATATATATATATATATACATACACATATACATATACATATATAAACATACATATATACATACACACAGCTAATCTACAGTCATACAAGTGCTATCATAAAAGTATCCATCCATCTTAGACAGTGCAGAAGGGAAATACCCAGAAGATGTTAACTGCAAAAATTTGAGCCTTGGGAAGGACAGTAATATTTCAGTATTACATTAAAAAAAAAAAAACTTTCCACCCAAAAAAGGTAACTTTACCTTTGATAAAGGAAAAAAAAGAAAAGAAAAACAAACAAACAAACTAGAAAGACAAAAAAAAAAAAAAAAAAAAAAAAAAAAAAAGAAGGATAATCAAAAAAAGAAGGAAAATCCAAAAAAAAAGACTGACAGAAAAGATACTAATTCACTTCACTTCCTTAGGTCACTGAAATACCGGGAAATCAAGTCGTAACATTTCTTAAGTGCTTTCACAATCTGCGAGACGATGCAACAGTACTGGTTCTGGGATCGGTGGTGTACTGGGCTGGCTGCCTGGGGCCGTGCTGGGCCTCGAAAATGGGGAGAAGGCAGTTCTCACATGGACGCAGGTTCGTACTCGTCGTCAGAGTAATCGTCATCCACCAGCGATCCACCGCCGCGCAGCGAGAAGTCAAACTTGGTGGACTTGGCTGGAGGGCTGCACAGAGCGGAGGGAGAGAAGTGGAGTGATGACAAAACAGGTAAGGGTTTGTGGGAAGGAGAGATAAACTGGTCTTAAAGACGAGGACTAAGGAATGATTTGATCTATTTTTATTTATTTTGTCAAATGATCGACTGGTGTAGCCAGGCCAGAAAAACTGAGGGGCAAACACTGCTTACACTGTTTGATAACAATTTTTACCCAATTATTTATTCAACTTTAATCCTGAACCTATAATTCCTTTAATACAGATCCTTAATCCAAAATTTCATCAGTTTCTTTACATATTCACAAGTAGCTAATTGATATTTTGGTCTCTTTGTCTTTATACTAATTAGCTACAACTAATGACCTACTATAGCAACCTTCAAAGATTAAAAAAAAGAAAATTTAAAAAGTATCTTTCTTCTTTAATGCACCAACTATGTTAATGAAAATCAAGTAAATCTTAATGAAATGTACTTATATACTGTAAGGGATAATCACACTTTGTGTAACTATCCTCAAATGAGCTCTTGTAAAAATTACAAAAATCAAGAAAAAACAAAATTGAAAACATGCATAAAGATAAGACTAAACCTTTGTAGATTAAACAACATGATATTACTTACAGAAGTCCAAGTTAGCAAACACCAGCACCTTCCCTCCCTTGCTCACTCACTCCTTCCCATACACAAACCAACACACAAACAATCTCAAGAGACGCTCAATACAACTTCCCTCTGTATGACCCAACCTTTCTAGAGGATGCATCACCCTGTCACTACCTTGAACCTACACCCTTGTAATAAACAAATAACCTGTTCAATTCCTCAATGCTGTTCCCCAGAATGCGCCACCCACCTGTTACAATCTTCGGAGGACTGGCTGATGGCCTTGGGGGATGAGGGGGGGGACAGGGCACTCATGACCGAGTCCTTCTTCTCGGTGAGGTACTGGGTGAGCCTCCCGTCGCGGCCAAAGAGCATGAGGAAGGTGTCGATGAACTCTCTGCTCTTCTCCTCCCACTTGCTGATGAGGTCAGTCTTCTTGCCTTCAATATCCTCGAACATTTCCTTGCCCTTCTTCTTGAGGTCGTCAATCTTGTTCTGTAGCCGGTACTTCTTCTCCTGCGAGAGTTTTAAAGTTAGTGGTGTGTCCTTTTCCAAGGCTGAATTTATACAATCATGAGTGAAGTTTCTTTGTCTAATAGGCCAAGTTGTGCAAAACTGTCTACAGTAACTTTAAATTATAAATAAAGTACACTGCCTCATACTCACATTAATATACGATACATTAAGATCCTTTGCACTGTATCCTCGAGCTAAATTTCTTCTGACATAAACGTCATAATCCTTAACAATCCTTGATACTACGTCACTAGTGGACACCCCTTCTGTTCGTTCCGTTGTGACAAACATGCCTCGTTCTTTGATGTGCGCATACACATCGGTAGCGCTGCCAGTTGTGTACGGAATATCGTCATGAGCCACAAAATCAATCTGGAAAATTATTTGCATGTCTTATGTAATATAAATAACCTCCTCGTACCAAATTATCTCTTGATTCACCCAATTATCAACATATCATCAAAATGGAGTAAAAAGATCTGTGAAAGAATGGAATACACTTATCATATCTACACTCGTTTATCAAATCACATAATTACCAAAGCTGAGCTAATTTTGAAGGCTAACAAAGAAAGGCTGTGTATAGATCTGTACAAACAGACTTATTTCCTACCTTGTGTTTATCCAAGAATTCGTCATCTAAGCTCCAAGGGGCATCTGGCACCACCTCATCTACATAACGGCAGTGGCGAACGGCCTCGTATCTCTCATCTTCAGACATAACTGTACGGCCCTTTCGACTGTGGGTTAGGGCGTCACTGCACACTGCAAGGGTATTTCTTTTAGTGAGATTATTTAAAGACTATAAAGACTGGATGCCAATATTCAAAGTATATGGTGGCACACCATGACAAATAGAGGTAAAAAAAGTAAAAGCAACAAGAAAGGGCAAAAAAGTAAACTCAAATCTATTCAGGAAGAGCTAACAAATAAGAAATGAAATAACATGAACTATGAACAAGTAATAAACAGAACAAAATAAGACAACGCAAACAACAGCTCCCCCGCCCAACTTACCTCCAACAATGAGGTATACATTGGGGAACAAATTC